TTATTTCATTAGTCAGTGATAAATTCTTTTAACATCTGTATTACTAATACATTGAAATACATGTATTCATACATTTAGTATTATTGATACTAGTATTATTTACCTGATAGTATTATTGATATCTTGAAATATATGAAATTAACAAATACCTATTTTAATTAATGTTCCATGGCATTGTATACTATGAAATTTTGCTATTCTTGTCCTTGCGGATATGCTTAATCATTTTGTAATATGTGGGACATTGACATTGCTGTCTTGTTTTCAACATGTTGTCTTATGGAATATTTTCATTCAATGGTGGTAGTTAATGGTTTTCTTCACTCTAGGAACATGATTGTACAAGTTGTAAGATGCTAGTTATTTTATCTACAAACCATGCTAAAAGCAGGTCGCCAAGTTCTCTCTGCTCAAAAGCAGAGAGGTAAATTACAGTTAAGTAATGGATTATTTTATATTGGTTACATTTCAGAGAAACGTAACACTATTCATCAGCAGCTATCAGGAATGATTAACCTCTATTTTCTTTCAGTGTTTCTTAGCTTACTTTGTCTGGCTTTGTTCATTAGTTCTTAAGGCCAACTAATTGAAAACCTACCTTGTAAATTCTCTTATTTCGCTTGGGGTAAAACTGCACAGATTTGGCATAGTAGCAGGGAGAACAATGCCACCTGGTGGCCAAGTCCAGTGCATCAGGCTTGTCACAAAATCGCAGAGCCCCGGGAATGGGAGTTTGGTGAGGGTAAAGGGCAGGGTGGATTGGTGGCCTGGACATCACTGGTAGAGAAAAGACCCTAAAAATCAGAAAATAAGCTGGAAACAGCTAACCTGCCGCTGGAATCGCTGGGATCAGAGACTACTGCTACACTGCGTGAACTGGGAGGAGAACAGAGGGAGCAACCCTGGTGACCTGTGAGTCTGGTACAGCAGGTGGTGGAGGGCTTCAGGGAGGCGCTGCCACGACTGTTGTCATAGCGCCCTCTGCAGGCACTGTGTGTGCTTTGGGCATTATCAAACCTTCCTCGTGGGCACGCACATTGAAAAACAAGGTACTGCCTCAAAAACACCAGCATTTCTCATAAGCTAATGCTCTTAAAATGCCTTTTATTTTTCTGAGCACACAGACAAGCACCCAAATTTCATTTCAACATGTGTGAGCTGGCATCTGTGAGTTTGATTCTCTTGCAGACTCTAGGTTATAATTTGTGTTCCTTTTTTGCACCAGTTATTAGTTCCTGTCCGTTAACATAAAATATTAATAAAATGTGAACGTATTTGCGTGACAGTTTTGGTAGGAGCCTTGGGCAGCCTGGACATCGTGTGCACATTTGCATGTTACCGGCTCGGCTTGCACTCTGGCATCTTAGGCATTGGGTGTCCGTCCCACTTCTCACCAGTGGTAATTATGTAAGAAATAGGAATGAATGCTTCTTTCTCTTGTTTCTTGACTGAGTGATTTTACATTCTCAATAAAGGTTTTCATGGTAGAAGTGTTCTGTAAAACTAATTTATTCTGCTAATTATTATGCAGTAACTGCTAGATGCTCAGCTTTGTTCTGAATCTTAATGTAATTTTCCCCAAAAATCCTGTGAGGTTGGAACTATAGTTATTCCACTCTTCTTCTTCTTCTTCTTCTTCTTCTTCTTCTTCTTCTTCTTCTTCCTCCTCCTCCTCCTCCTCCTCCTCCTCTCCTCCTCCTCCTCCTATTCTTCTTCTTCTTCCTCTTCCTCTTCTTCTTTTTCTTTTTTGTTCTTATGGAAACCAAGGCACAGAGAGTTTAGGTAAGTTGTCAAAGGTTCCACAGTGAAAGAATGGCTGTGCTGGAATTTAATCTAGCCCTCTGTCTCAGAGCTCATGCCCTCTATAGCACGTTTATCCCTAAATCAAGAAAGCAATGATGTGGCATTGTTACCATCTTCTCTGTATACCAGAGTATTTGTTCAGCTCCCTGGCAGCAACACCCTTGATCTTTTCTACAATGAGGGGGGAATCTGGGTTAACATTTCAGAATTTGCCGTATCTATTCGTATGCATTTTTAGTAATTTGAAACATTTTTTTAGGCACATTTCTTAAAGGATCTTTTTCCATGTTGATACACAAAATTTTATTTAATGATTTCACATTTCTGTTTATTCTCTTATTCTGGGAGAAATTTGGGGATGGATAACCTTGATGTACTCACACTTGGGCAGAAAGTATTGTTCTTATTTTGTTTTAAAGATTTGTGTATTTATTTGAAAGGCAGAGTGACAGAGAAAAAGAGAGAGAGAGAGAGAGATAGAGACAGATCTTGAATCCATTGCTTCATTCCCCCAAAGCCTGCAATAGCCAAGGCTAGGCCAGGCTGAAGCCAGGAGCCACAAACACCATCTGGGTCTCCCACATGGGTAGCAGGGACCCAGGTTCTTGGGTCATTATCCACCGCCTTCCCATGTGTATTAGCAGGAAGCTGGATTGGAAGTGGAGGAGCCCCTTGAACCAGGCATTCTTATATAGAATGCAAGCATTGCAAACACCCCGCCGCACCACAACGCTCTCCCCTATTTTTACTGTTCTTTTTTTTTTTTTAAATCAAGTTCTGTGCTTTTGGCACAGGAGTTAAGATGCCTTATGAGGGGGCTGCTGTCACCTCTTGGGACACTAGCATCCCATCGTGATCCCAGGTTTGAGTCGTCTACTTCCAACCTCGCTTCCTGCTGATGCACCTGGTAAGGCAATGGATGATGACCCACATGCTTGGGCCCCTACAACCCACGTGGGAACTTGAATGGATTTTCTGGCTTTGGCTTCAGTGTGGCTCAGTCAGTCTTGGCTGTTGCAGTCATTTGGAGGAGTGAATCAGAGTCTAGAAGATTCTCCTCTCTCTGTCTCTCCCTCTCTGTTATTCTACTTTTCAAATAAACGAATACATCTTTTTAAAAACAAAGATGCTGTTTAGGATGCCCACAACCTGTATCAGATTGCTGGGGCTGGAGTCTCAGCTTCCTGCTAATGTGCACCCTGGGAGGCAGCCGGTGATGACTCAAGTGGTTGAGTCCCTGCCACCCACACGGGACACCCAGATTGAGTTTCTGGCTCCTGGCTTCCTTTGGCCCAACCCTACCTAGTTGAGGCAGGCATTTGCGGAGTGAAACACATGGGACAGCTCCCTCTTTGGCTCACTCCTGCTCTTTTACTTTCAAATAACTTGTCAAAGCAGAAGTGAAGTTTTATTAGTGATACAGCAGGTAATGAGATGAGGAAGAGCAATTTATACAGTTTATGTAGAGATAGCTTCTGCAGTGATGTGTTTAGGGTAGTTCACACCATGTATTTTTACATGAAGTTATATGTTCTACACTACATTTTAATTTTATATTCAAGAATTCAAACACACTGAGATTTGAAGAGTCATGTATGAATTCAGTTCTGACATTGTTCTCTGTAATGTTTAGCAGTCTTTCTTCCTTAAATCCTATTATAAGATGGTGGGGAGTCAGGATCCTAAAAACCCTCAATTTATTTATTTTTTTAAATAGTTGTCTTTAAGATTTATTTATTTATTATTTGAAGGCAGAGCTACGGGGGTGAGGGGAGGTCTTCCATTGGCTGGTTCACTCCCCCAAATGGCCTCAAAGGCGGGAGCTGAGCCCGTTGGAAGCCAGGAGCTGCTTCCAGGTCTCCCATGTGGGTGCAGGGGCCCAAAGACTTATGCCATCTTCTACTGCTCTCTCAGGCCACAGCAGAGAGCTGGATCAGAAGTGGAACAGCCGGGACTCGAACTGGTGCCCATATGGGATGCCGGCACTGCAGGCTGCAGCTTTACCCACTATGCCACAGCACTGGCCCCCAAACCATCAATTTATGGTCCACATATTTAGAACTTTCGGGCCCTGCCCTACATCTTTTTGTCTTGTTCCCGCTTCTCTTCAAGTGAGCAGTCGGAGGTTATGAATTGTCTCACTGTGGTCCATGTCTCTTCCTGAGAGCGCACACCAGGCATTTGTTTATTTACTACGACGGGGGTGGAGAGGTGTTTTCTTTAAGAGCTTCTCTTGCTGTGGAAATTTTCACAAAGCCTCGGCAGGAGGCTGAGGAGAAAACTGATTTGAGAGGTCTCTTCAAGCCACACAGGCCCAGTCGTGCGATCCTGCCATTTCCTAAAAATCGGATTACCCTTGTTTTGGAACCAGTGATCTTCACAAAGGCCTCCCTCCAAGGGGAGGACTCGAGGCTTTGCTACGACCTTAATCAAGTATTAGCCGCACACCGCAATTAATCCCCGACTCTACAAAACGGAATGTCCTGTCTCTCAAACTACAGCAGGTGGAAGGGGATTAAAAAGGAGGCGAGCGAGCTGTGACTGGAGCTGCAGGCAGGTGACACGGGAGCAGCGAGCCGGGCCGGGGGCCTGGGGTCGGCCCACGGCTTAGATCCAGCCCCGCAGTTCCCGCTTCCCTCCCAGACCTGCGCAAAAACAGAGCCACTTAGCCGGTGGGCCAGAGAGAGGGAGGGAGAGAGCGGCTGCAGTACCGGCCGCTCCACTCGGGTTTGCAGTAGGCTGCATCTTTCTGGCCGGACGCGGGCACCTGAGGGGGCAAGAGCTGCTCCACGCCAGGCGCAGACTTTGTCCAGCCCGTGAGGACAGGAAGAGTCGCGAGGGAGCGAAAGTCTCTTGACCTACAAATTACTCTGTTAGGCGTCGTTCGTACCTCCCCGGAGGATCAACGGCTCAGGGGGACAAGGGGAAGGACGCTCTCGGTTTTCAGCCTCTGATGGCGCCTACAGTTTGCCAGGCGCGCGGACAAAACAAGGCAATAACGCTAAAGAGGCCTTTTCCGCCCAATAAAATCTCGACCCCGCCTTCCAGTCCAGCCAATGACGAGCCAGGTCTCAGCAGCCAATCAAAAACATCCTCCTGGCACCGCCCCCTTGGTGACAAGCCGAGAGAAAAAAACAACCTCCGCCCGCCCTGTCGTTTTCAATCAGGTCCGCAAGTATAGTATTTAAAGGCCTGCGCCAACCCCTACTTCTCACAGGAGTGGCAGCCATGTCTGGACGTGGCAAGGGTGGAAAGGGCCTGGGCAAGGGCGGCGCCAAGCGCCACCGCAAGGTGCTGCGCGACAACATCCAGGGCATCACCAAGCCCGCCATCCGCCGCCTGGCCCGGCGCGGCGGCGTCAAGCGCATCTCGGGGCTCATCTACGAGGAGACCCGCGGCGTGCTCAAGGTCTTCCTTGAGAACGTCATCCGCGACGCCGTCACCTACACGGAGCACGCCAAGCGCAAGACGGTCACGGCTATGGACGTGGTCTACGCGCTCAAGCGCCAGGGACGCACGCTCTACGGCTTCGGCGGCTGAGCTGCCTGCCTTCGCGGCCCCAGATCCCTTACCCAAAGGCCCTTTTCAGGGCCACCCACGAAGTCATGGGAAGAGCTGAAGTACGTCCAGGGTAGCGTGTTTAAAACGCTGTTTCAATACGGGATAAGCAGCTTTGGTCTGTGTTAGGCGCAGCATAAGAGCTTTATGTGCCCGAGCTGTGTTGATCATAATGGTGCCGGTACTTCGGAGCCGAGTGCAAGCGCCCATGCGATTTACTGGCTGTATAGATGGTGTGTAGTTACGTTTTCAGAGGATTGCCGTTGGCGGCATTGGCAGAGCACTAAATTCTGTACAGTGAGGTAGAAGTGGGCCAAATTAAAGAGGTTTGGTTACACAAATGAACCAGGAAGTTGAGGGCCTACTGATAAACACTGGCTTGTATGTCACTACACTGCAGTTTTACACTTGGCTTTGTTTAAAGCTACCATTAGGTCAGTAAGGTTAGCATGGGTCTATCAATAGTATGGATTTAATGTTCACTAAAAATAAAGGGAAAATAATTCGTTTTTATTAAGAAAGCTTTTATTTAATGAACACGAATTTCACTCATAGGTACAGCTATAGGGATATACTGGTTGTTCCCACCCCCACTTCTGTCCCAACTCCTACTCCCCTCTCATCCCAAAATAATTTTATTTTTAGATTTATTTGCTTAAAAGTGTTACACGAGACAGAGAGGTCTTCCATCCGCTGGTTCACTCTCCAGATGCAAGGGTCACAGCTGTGCCAATCCAAAGCCAGGAGCCAGGAGGTTCTTCTGGGTCTCCCACACAGGTGCCCGGGCCCAAGGATTTGGGCCATCTTATTGCGTTCCCAGGCCATAGCAGAGAGCTGGATCGAAAGCGGAGCGGTGGCTTTACCCCCTATGCCACAGCTCCGTCTCCATTTTTTTTTTTTTTAAGATTTATTTATTTGAAAGAGTTACACAGAGGAAGGAGAGGCAGAGAGAGAGAGAAAGGTCTTCCATCCATTCGCTGGTTCACTCCCCAGATGGTCGCAAAGGCTGGAGCTACGACGATCCAGACAGAAACTAGGAACTTCTTCCAGGTCTCCCACGCGGGTGCAGGGGCCCAAGACCTTGGGCCATCTTCTACTGCTTTCTTAGACCATAGCAGAGAGCTGGATCGGAAGAGGAGCAGCCGGGACTTGAACCAACACCCATAAGGGATGCAGACACTGCAGGCTGCGACTTCACCTGCTATGCCACAGCACTTGGCCCCAATTTTCCTTAAAAAGTTATTTCTTCAGTTTGGACCCTGAGAATTTCCTCAGCAGTGCAGCTCTATCTATTTATATAAAACTTGTGGGTCTATCACATTTTTGAATTGTGCTGTTTTACGAAGCCTATAGTTTTATAAAAATTATAATCAAACGACACCAACAGCACTAAACCTCAACACCTCATAAAATATCTGGCATGGGTATAAACGATCTTACAGAACTCCAACTGTAGACTGAGTCATATGCAGGAAGTCCTCAACTTTATACTTTGACAAGGCCTACTCTACAGGGATTCTAAGATCCATGTGGCTCTGCTGCATCCACAAGTCTCAGAGCATCCACTTTGGTTTCAGGTTCTTCCCAGTGTCGCACCCTTTGCCGACCACGGGGGTGGCTCTTAAAAGAGCCTTTGGGTTCTCTGAAACTCGGCCGGCGGCGGCGCCTCACTTCTTGGAGGAGAGCTTCCGCTGGCTTGCCTTCTGCTGGGGCAGTTTGCTTTTCGAAGGCTTGGGCTTCGCGCCTCTGGCCTTGGCCGGACTCTTCCTGGGCTTCTTGCCTTGGGCTCCCTTGGCCTGCCGCCCGCCGCGGACCGCCTTCTTGGCTGTATTCCTTTGCTTCTTGGCTCTCTTGTTGGTCTTGATGGTCTTCGGGGACTTGGAGTCACGGGACAGGCCCACCTTCTTGGTCTTGGTAGGACGGGACTTCTTGACGTTGCCTTTGGTGGGTTCAGGAGTGGCCTTCTTGCTGAGCCTGAAGGAGCCCGAGGCGCCGGTGCCCTTGGTCTGCACCAGGGTGCCCTTGCTCACCAGGCTCTTGAGGCCCAGCTTGATGCGGCTGTTGTTCTTCTCCACGTCGTAGCCGGCGGCCGCCAGCGCCTTCTTGAGCGCGGCCACAGACATGCCCGCCCGATCCTGGCACACCGAAAGGGCCTCGGTGATAAGCTGGGACAAGGAAGGACTCGGAGTCTTGCGTCTTGCATTTGTCAACCCACCCGGCTTCTTTCCTCGCCTCTTGGTCGACGGTTTCCCCATAGGGACGACCACAGGCTCGACTGGGGCTGCGGGAGCCGTCTCAGACATCGCAGTGGAGAGCCACTCCAGGCAATACCGGTAGGAAGCTCGCCGTCGGGCTCCGGACCTTATATAGAGCCGGGTGCGCTGTGATTGGTGCGTCGCCAGGCGCCGCCCCCTCCCCTCAGAGGAGGAGCGTTTGTGTTTGTTTCCACCCCAAAACTTGAACCCCACAATACTCCTCTGCGCAGAATCTCCCGGGTTCCGCTGCCGAATGGTTCCTGGAGAATCAGATTTCACGTGAGCTTTTGCATTTTCACGAAAAATGATCCTGCATGTCGAAACTATTGGAGAAAGCCCTTGATTTTTAGGCAAATTCAAGAGAAAAGAATAAAACTTCCTCTTTTCCTCCTAAAAGCAAAATTAGTTTTTAGCAGGAGACTGATCTCTTCTCTTCGGGGTGGTCTTCCAAATGGATGGCTTCTAACTGGTGAAGAAAATAGATGATTCGCACCTTGATTTTTATGGAAAATTATTTGTATATGTGAGGGAAGTAACACAGACTCTTAGCTGTCTCCTGTGGAGTTAGAAGGTACTTAGAGAATTGTTGAAGACCTGCAGAATATGATGTGATTTAGGAAAACTCTAGTAAATAAACCACGTGAAACCACAAACTTCGGGTACCCGTAACGAGAGCTACTCTCCAGTTCCCGAACATCCTCGAGATGCAGTCATAATGCGGAACATGATTCCTATTCGGTTATCCTCATGTCTCTGACCACAGCTGAGATTTGCTTCTCGTTTTTGTAGCTCAGTCCACCTCCCCTCCACAAATTCACACATACAGTCTCTGTACCCAATGTACTATAAAACGTGAAGCAACAACCCTGGCAGGTGGAAGCCACAGACCAGCACCTCTAACGAGAATGCACTGACCGATGTGGGAAAGGGGTTGGGAAAATGGCCCACGCTCCCCTGAGCTTCTATTGCCTTGGGCCTTTGTGGGAGGTGGTCAGGACTTTCTGGAAGATTCTGAGAGAGCAATGTAGTATGGCTAGAGTCAGGGTCTCAGGAAAGGAAGAACCCATAAGGACCTAATTTAGCATAGATTCTCCCAAACAGCTTTGTGAAAATTTTGGCAACTTTCCAGGCTAGGGAGTCACTGGAGATTTCAAGGAAAGAGTGTGGTGTGCTGTTATTGTTATATTTGTCTTTTCTTGAGATTTCCTGAATAAACCATCATTATTGAGAAGAGTTCAGTGTAAGACGGTGGGAGTCTACTGTAATTGTCTCAGAAGAATGACAAATGTTGGCCTAAGGGGGCAGTGTGGGAAACAGGAGCCTACATTTGAAATATTTCAAAAACAAAAGCCAAAGGATGAGACTTCACACTTTTCAACCGCAAAGTGAAGTTAACAAAAAGCCTCCATCTCTATCTTACACAGGTGCACACAGATGCACACACTTGGAACACAAATTCAGACAATTCTACTTTAAGCACGTGTACTCTGCCATATTCTATTTTCCTTGGGGAATATTTCTCCTTAGGGAAATTTTAAGTATCTTGTGATTATGTTTTGTTTTGGAGAGAGCGCCCATCGGTTAGTTCTCCCCAGATCCCACAACGGGAGGCAGGAACTCAATTCAGGTCTCATTTTGGTGGCAGGGACCCAACTAGCTGAGCCACTACCTGTTGCCTCCCAGGTCCACATTAGCAGGAACCAGGGATGGGGAGCAGAGACAGGACTTGGATGTAGGCACTCCCGAGAAAGGACTTCTTAACCACCTGGTCAGCTGGCTGTGCCTTCTGTGTCAATCTTGTTCCATTTCTCAAAGCTTGGTGATCTCTCAGGATTATGTCATTAAAATCAGTGGCTTAGGTTGTGAGTACAGGCTGACAGAATGCTAATTCTGTCATTTTTAAAGTAACAGAACTGGAGAATTTAGGAAATTCACAGATTCCATAATTTGAGATCCCGAAAGAAAACCATGATTCATATTTTTGTGTGGCAGGTAGCTAAAATGTATTAAAGACAAATTATAATATAATTATATAAACATATGATATATATATTATCCTGTGCCATTGTCCAAAGTTTTTTCTCACTTAAAAAAAAAAAGGTGGGGGGATTCATTTTATAGGTGAAGAAATTGAGGCGCAGAATGTCACATGACTTGCCCAGGTTCGTAGAGCTGGGGAGCCACTGCACTAGAGTTCAAGCCCAGGAAGTCTGGCTTCAGAACGCTCTGACCTTCCCTGCTTCACTCTCAGGGAGCTGCAGGCACCACTGTGCTGAGTCACTTCCTTCCCTTTTCCTTGTCTTCACCTAATATCTGATGCTCATGGGATCACATTTTCAATAACTTCTTTTGCGTATGTTTGGAGCAATACTGTAGTTTTAGTTTTTTAAGTTCTCTATTGTGAGAAGCTCAGTCTTCTTAGCTCTCATTAAAAAAGCAAGGAACACAGTCATACAGAAAATAAAATGATTATTTTATTTTAAAAATAAATTCATATCTGGTAATATGAAAAGTATATGGCCTACCAATATTAATTTTACACACCCGATTGTTATTTTTAAACTGTTTAATATATATTTCTATTACTATACATGTGAATAAAATAAAGCTACGTTTGCTCTGTTTGGTGAGGACATTAGCAGAGTTTCACTTGCCAGCACTCTCACTTTACTCACATCTTTTTTTCATAAAAATTCTTAAGTTTCTTTTTTGTGTGTATTTTTTTTTTATTTATTTGAAAAGCAGAGTAGGAGAGAAACAGGGAGAAAGACTGAGACAGAGAAATAATCTATCCACTGGTTCACTCCCCAAATGCCCACAACAGCCGAGGCTGAAGCCAGAAGCCAGGCACTCCATCAGTTCTCCCGAGTGGGTGGCAGGAACTCAGGTACTTGAGCTACCCTCTGCTTCCTCCCAAACATGTTAACAGGAAGCTAGATCAGAAGCAGAGCAGGATTCAACCCCAGGCTCTCCAATATTGCTTGTGGAAATCTCAAGCAGTGGTTTAACATGCTATGCTTCAATGCTCTCCCCATTCACTTCTTAATTTTTCTGACATCCAAGATTTAGATACTCCCAGGGCCTGCGCTGTGGCATAGCAGGTAAAGATGCCACATGCAGTGCCGGCATCCCGGATGGGCTCTGGATGGGGTCTGGGCTGTTCTACTTTCCATCCAGCTCTCTGCTGTGGTCTGGGAAAGCAGTAGAAGATGGTCCAAGTCCTTGGGCCCCTGCACCCACATGAGAGACCTGGAAGAAGCTCCTGGATCCTGGCTTTGGATCAGTGCAGCTCCAGCCGTTGAGGCCATCTGGAGAGTGAACCAGCCAATGGAGGACCTCCCTCTCAATCTCTCTCTCTCTCTCCTTCTGCTTCTCTGCAACTCTGAATTTCAAAAAAATAAATTAATCTTTAAAAAAGAAAGCAAAAAACAACAACAACAACAAAAAAACCCCACACAATCTGGAGGTGGAGAAATTTTAAAAAATGTATGCCAGTTTGAAAAAATCTAAAAAATAAATGAAAAAATCTAAAAAATCTAAAAAAAATAATAATAATAAAAAGAACATGTACCCCTCTTTCATGTTTCTTCCTTTCTAAAGAGTTATTTTTGAATGTTATATTTGGTTTGCAATCATCTTTAGACATTATTTGACAAATTAACCTTAACTCTCTATTCAACTGGTCTCTTCATTTTTCATTGTTGTATTTTGACTGTTTTCTTGTTCAACTGTTAAGTTGTCGCTTAGCTCACAGAAAGGATATGTGAATAACTCCATGTTTTGCAAAAGTTGTTACTAAATGTCTCCAAAAGTCATCCAGCAGTTATTGAACATCAAGTGCTAGAATGACGCTACTCCACGGCGGCAAGATGTATTAAAAATTATTTTAATTGAAAAAAAAAGTTGTGCATCGTCTCCAAACTACCAAGACCATCTGTTTAGATACTATCTAAACATAAGCAATGACAGCAATTATTAGGTGCCCAAATCGCTGTCTAAGATTTTAATCTATCAGGATTTCAAGGCAGAGAAACCCTTTGAGAAAGGGTATCAGGGAGGTTGGTCTTCTATTGAATCAGATGAACTGAGTGATTTTCAGCAGGTTTCTTCTACAGCTCCATTGTAAGCACACAGATTCCTATGTGCAGGGATCTTGGGAAAACTTCTGAGAGGAGACAGGAACTAAGCTCAGGGCCATCCTCTAGGAAGCTCAGGGCCATCATCTAGGAAGCACTGGAAGTACCTAACCTTAAGAAAACAAAACAAAAAAAGGCTTTTTGCATCATTACAAAACACCCCTGGAGGAGCTATGCAGGCAGTCTTATTTCTGCTCTTACTGACATTTCTACCCTTATTGTCTATTTACACGGAACTACAGAGACATACCCACATCATTCTGATTCTTAATTTGTGACTAAGTAACTATAAATAAGCAATGCTAGCAACTAAGACTAATGTCCAGAACCTTTCTATGAACAGCTCATTGCTGGGTAACTAAAACCATTTTCCAACCTATATGGATGTTAAAGAGTCCGTCTTTGCAAGGCACAGCATTAGAATATGTTAGAATATGGGTGCATTTTCTGTTATACTTTAATCCAAAATATACAGTGTCAGAAAAAAGCATAAAATCCTGCAGCCATTTGGGAGTGAAGCAGCAGTTGGAAACTCGCTCTCTCCTGTCCCTCCCCTTTTCTCTGTAACTCTGCCTTTCAAATAAATAAATATATTTTTAAAAAAGAGGATTATAAAGATATCACTAGGTTTTATATTATCAATTGGATAGATTAAAAATAGTAGTGCACCTATTTGCATTTTAGGTTTCCATGAGGTTCAATGTGTTCCATGGATGAGTTGTCAGAACGTATTAATTGTTCTTTAAAAATTTCATTTATTGAAAGGCAGAGAGAGAAAGAGACAAGAGCATAGATCTCCCACCCACTGGTTCACTTCACAGATGCCTGCAATGGCTGAAGCTGAGAGCTGGAACTCAACTCACATCCTCCACATGGCTCACAGGTACCAACTACTTGAGCCAACACCTGCTGCCTCACAGGGTGCACATTGTCAGGAAGCTGAATTTAGGAGCAGAGCTGGGACTCGAACCCAGGTACTCTGATACAGGATGTCGGGGCCCCAACTAGCGGCCTTACTGCTATAACCACCACCAACCCAGGAGCCTATTTATTGAGGACTGGGCATTTGTCTCCTTGTGAAAAGTCTTAATCTAGTGTTGGCTCCCGGGGATTTGGCTCTCAGTTCTCCGAGGCTGCTGCTTGCATGTGGAATGGAGGAGCCCTAACCTTGGAACAAAGAGATCTGTGTTAACTTCCCACCTCCTCTGTTTCTAGCTTTTGTGACACTGGACAAATTAACCCTATCTCTTCTAAACTCAGTTTCCTCGTCTGTAGGTTACACTAATGACACTTAGTCTCATTTTGGATTTCCATAACAAAATACTACAGATTGGGTGGTTCAAGCACCAGAAATATATTTTCTCACTCTGAAGACTGAAAGTCTTAGATGAGGGTAGAGAATGGTCAGGTTCAGGGAGGAGGAGCTCTCTTCCTGGCTAGGGGCCTGCTCCTTGTGTGCTCACAGGGCCTCTCCTTAGTGTGTGTGCAAGATCTCTCTCCCTCTCTCGTCCTCTCCTTATAAGGCTACCAATCCTAACTAATTAGGACCTTATCCTTATGATCTCATTCAAAATTAATTACCTCCTAAAAAGTTCTAAGGAGGTACTTCAAAAAGGTCACGGAAAATGCGCATTGTGAAGGAAATATGTATGGATGTCGGATTTTGCACCAACATAAAGTAGTTTCAAGTCTGTTTTTCTACAAACTTTTTCAAGTACTCGTATCTCCAATTGGGATTTAGGGCTTCAATATATGAACAGGGGGCAGTGAGGCATGAGTGGGATACATAGCAGATCCTTTCTCAAAGAGTAGTTATAAATAGTTATACATAGATAATGTAAGTAAAAGTAGATTCGTTACACTCAGCCAAATGCAGTTTATTCCAGCTGGTCCTGCATGGCACCAGATAATTTTTATTTTATTTTTGTTATTTTATTATTATTCTTCATATAGTGCCGTCTCATGGACTTATTGAAACCATGTTACCATTGTGCTGTAGTTTTTAATGTGATTGTGTTAATAATGATACAGGGGATAATTGCCCCTACCAATAAAGGAAGAGTTGCAATTTCAATATTTTTTGGAGGAGTGGGTCTGTCAGGATGACATTGTTTTATAAAATTTTTCATTGCCAACGGGAGTGCTGTAAAACAGGAATTTCCAAGTTACATTGGGATTACAAATTTGGCATGGCTGTCCTGGATGGCCATTCAGCAATGTATATTAAAGACCTTAAAAAAATTCCTCCCTTTTGTTTTAGTATTTATACTTCTACAAACCTATACTAGGGAAATAATATTTTACCAAAGATTTATGTACAAAGATGTGTGATCTGTATAATCTGTAATGAATAAAAATGGGACTCAATAGAAGTAGTCAATAATAGAGCTAATTACATAAGTAAATATTGCATCCATAAATAAAATGATACACCCATAAAAACTGTTTCTACCAAAAAATTACATGGGTATACCTACATCTATTTTACGTGATATATTTACTTTACGTATATTCAGACTATCCATACATATGTCTCACATACATGTAAAAAGGAGATACTAGGCATTGTTTCTTTATATGTTTCTCTTTTCAAAAACTTTTTCAATAAACATTTAACATTTTCACAGTGAGAACAAGAAGAAAACAAGCTACTGTTTATAAAGACGCTTACTGGTTCTTTCTTGACTTAAGAAGGCCCCACTTCAGGATCCCTCACTTGCTGGGCTCGTGCCAGGCGAGCGGTAAGCGGCGGGGCGAGGGCATCTCTGCTCCTCCGGTGCAGAGACCGAGCCGCGTCTGGAGTTCAGCAGACACCGGACGTCGCCCCACTCTGAGAACAGCGGCAGTCAACACTCGGGACAGTCGGGAAACAGCGGGCTAAGCTTTCCCACACCATTAATCCCATTCCTTTGACCGAAAGGTTTCCCTGTACATAGTGAACCGCAACCTAACTTGACGGGCAAACACACTGCAACCTAATCCATAGCAAGTAGCTAAGCTTCAGCCAATCACGAACAGCTAACTGTTCAAACCCTTTTCAGAGAAGACTGACGTGAGCTGTAACCAATTGCCTGTCTCCGTCCCTCACTTCCGGTTTCTGTAGTTTTTTTTTTTTTTTTTTTTTTTTTTTTTTAATTTCTCTTTCTCACTATAAATATAGCCTGCTCCAGGGCTGGGTGGTAAGTGGTTAGTGGTAAGTCTAATCTCTTTGTGAGCCCTATTGCTGCCTGATTTTAGAAACCATGTAAAGCCAATTAATACCTGTAAAGCTAGATTTGTTGTGATTTTGTTTTAGCAATACCAATTACATTTAGTTACTGTACCAACCTTATGCTGTACCTGCTGTCCTTCACCTTCCTTTATAAATAAGGAAATGAGAATTGTTGGGTGATGAGCCTCCACGGGAAACCCACACCCTCTGTTCCTGAGTCAGTTACAGAGAGAGAGAGGGAGAGGGAGAAGAAGAGGGGGAGAGAGAGAGAGAGAGAGAGAGAGAGAGAGAGAGAGAGGACTTCCATCCGCTGGTTCACTCCCCAGATGGCCGCAATGGCCTGAGCTGCGCTGATCCGGAGCTAGGAGCTTCTTCCGGGTCTCCCACACAGGTGCAGGGTCCAAGGACTTGGCCCATCTTCTACTGCTTTCCCAGGCTATAGCAGAGAGCTGGATCGGAAGTGGAGCAGCCGGGACTAATGTCCATATGGGATGCCTGCACTGCAGGAGGCTGCTTTACCCACTACACCACAGCACCGGTCCCCTGTGTATGCTTTTAAATAAAGAATGGCTGGGACTCTTAGGCTGTTTTTCTGTTGATACAAGAAAATACCAAAACTGGGTACATTATAAAAGAGAAAAATTATTTCCTTACAGTTCTGGAGGCCTAAGGGTATGGAGCCAGCACCTGCCGGAATTCTGCTGAAAGCCTCCTGGTGCTTCAATGCATGATTGAAAAGGGGAAAGCAGGTGCAGGCTCTTCCCTCAGTGAGAGTCCAGCGTTGGGGGAGAGACCGCTTAACAACAGCCCACTCTCAGGGGACCCAATGCAGCTTTAAGAGAGTGAGAGCTGAGGCTTTTGAGAAAAGCATTAATCCTTCCGGAAAGTTCCAACACCTCTCAGCACGGAGGCACGAGACACCAAGCTTCAGCATGGATTTTGTGTGGACAATCCATATTCAAACCATAAGCAGGAACTTAGTGTCCTGAAGTTCCATCTAAGCCTCAAAGGGTAAGAATGTGTCAGGTGAGGAGGAGGAGTTAGGGATTTTCATAAAGGGGATGTAGCCCCACATGCCAGCCAGTGGGGCTTGGCTGTGAGCTGTGCAGACTTGCCTGTGAGGGATGTGGAAGGTCTGAGTTCCTGTGATCCCCTCATAGTGCACCTGTAACAGTTTTCTCTCAAGTACTCACCCTTCCCAGGTGCTGGTAGACGTCACCCCCATGCCTCCCACTTCCTTCTGCCGTGGCAATAAGTGTAAACGAAATGTATCTACTGGGAAAGCTCCCAAATCAATGCCTGGGATGTTCATTGCGGTGCTATAAATGGCCTTTTTCTCCATCTCTTGACAACAAAGACAGGCTTCGTTGATTGCTGGGTCCAGATCGAGTGCAGGGAAATGCGTGTACTGTTAGCTTACTAGCAGTCTCCTTTAGGTTCTGGGCCTGCCTTCATTTGGCCAGGGATAGAAGGACTTCTGTGACAGGGGTTCATTTGGCTAATTTGAAGACTTGCAGTTGCCACCCATGCTTGACACATTGTTTTGCAGGAGCTCAGCTTCAGGAAGAACAGGTTCAGGTTCAGACTGGAACAGGCCAAAGAACAGCCTCAGAGCCTTTTGGGGACTCCTACCTCTTTATTCTCACCGTGGCAGGAAGGAAACAGAGCCTTGCTCGAGGCCCGGCGAGCTCCATTCCTGGATCCGCCCTCTCTTTTATAAACTTTACTGACAACCGTGGCAGGCAGCCAAGCAGATGCATAGCGGAACTGCATCAGCGTTCGAGCCTGCCTGCTGAACATCAGTTTCGGTCCTGCCAGGTGCCATGACAGTGAGGAGCCTAACTGAGTCGGTTTCCCCCACACCCAGGCCATCATTGCACATGGACGGAGACTTTTACTCCATATGCTGCATATACTTATAAAAGTTGTCAAAGTCACAAACCTTTGTCACAAAGATTTGCAGAAAGATCTGTCTGGAAGCAGAGCTGGGTAAGAGGCACATCTCCCTCACAAGCTTTTTTTTTTTTTTTTTTTTTTTTGACAGGCAGAGTGGATAGTGAGAGAGAGAGACAGAGAGAAAGGTCTTCCCTTTGCCATTTGTTCTCCCTCCAGTGGCCGCCACAGCTGGTGCGCTGCAGCAGGCGCACTGCGCTGATCCGAAGGCAGGAGCCAGGTGCTTCTCCTGGCCTCCCATGGGGTGCAGGGCCCAAGCACTTGGGCCATCCTCCACTGCACTCCCGGGCCAGAGCAGAGAGCTGGCCTGGAAGAGGGGCAACCGGGACAGAATCTGGCGCCCCGACTGGGACTAGAACCCTGTGTGCCGGCACCGCTAGGTGGAGAATTAGCCTATTGAGCCATGGCGCTGGCCTCCCTCACAAACTTTTGATCAACTTGCTAACTCATGGTGTGACTGCTGATATTCCAATGGTGAGTTTAATATACTCGCTAGTGCTTGTAGCACAGCCTTAACAATTTCATGTGCCAAATGTTCCCTTGAACACCTTTAAAAAGACAGCAGATTGAAGGGCTGTGCTGGAGGGATTGCAGTTCTCTCTCTGTGTGTGCTCCCACCCACCTTATACCTAACCCACAAGCTCACACCCACAGTGACGGTGACAATGGCACTGGAAAGGGAGGGAGAGGTACTAGAAATAGGTCCAAGGTAGAACCGGTTATCTCTCCTCTTTCCTTCATTGTTGCTTGGGTTCTTCAGCTTTTCATTATTTTAAATGAAATACCTGAGAGAATCTTCTTACAGTTGAAGGTTCAGAGATAAAAATCAGGGTGCTCCATTGATCAGTCTGGCATCTGGTGGTGACAGAGTGAGTAGGAGTTACAGGGTGAGCCAGGAAGCAGGGAGAGAAGCCAGGCTGGACTTAGCTGAAGTTGCCAGCTCTTTCATGAGAACTACTTCAAAGTACAAGCCCCTAAAGACCCCCCTCTGGGAGGCAGGGAGGAAGGGAATATCATTGTTTTCAGAATCATATCTACAAACCATATTGAACCTGTTAAAAACTATTTAAATTAAAAAATAATAATAATAATAAAAGACCTCCTTCTGGCCCCACCTCCCTGCTGCCGTAATTAGATTAGGTCTCTGCCCTGAGCCAATAACCGTTAGTACAAATATATTAACTGTTCGCATAGGCCTTTGAGGTTTAAGCATCTGCATGGTGTTGAGGAGCCAAGGCTTGTTCACTCTGTAACATTAATTTTTGCAAGTACCACCTGCTCCTTTAAACACCATTTAAAAGGCACCAAATGTAAGGGCTGCTCGGGGAACCACAGCCCTCCCTCTGTGTGCTCACGCTCACCTTGCCTCTACCCTCACAAGCTCACACCCGTGACGGCAGCAGTGACAGTGGTACTGGAGCAGGGGGGAGAGGTACTCAGAATACGTCAAATGTAGAACCAAAAGGGTTTTGCTTTCTCCTCTGATGCGTTGCTGGTTCATCCCTCAAGGGCCTCCTCTGAGCTTTCCAGCCAGCATTGTATTGTTTGAGTTGATACAGTCAAGCACTTGCAACAGTAGGTGACGCCCACACTAAGTGCCACATTCGTGTTAGCTACTATTGAGATATTAAACACTTGAAGTAATGTTAATATGAATATCATGTCTGCTACAACACCTGCTCCCCCTTTTCTTCTCTTTTTTTCCCTTTCCGTCCTTTCTCCCATTCTAACTGCTTAGAAAAATGATTGAGATCCATCTTCTCCAGCTGGGATAGAAGCTGCATGAGGGTGACCTTGTCCAAGGAGATAGACACTGAAGATGGCTCCTGAGCAGCCAGAGGAAGAGCCAACTGCTGGCCTAGAGGACAGGGAGAGAGAAGCCGCCCCTTCCTAGAGCAACCTAGGACTCTGTCCTTGCTTCCTCTGTGCTGACGGTGTCCCTGGTCAGTGCGGAGCTGCTGCGGAAGGGGAGTGCAAGAGGGAAAAAGGAGAGGCCTGGACAAAATGACTGACGGCAGCCACTCACTCTTCACCCAGCAAAGCTTGTTTTCCTGCCCGGGCCCACGGCCAGTCTGCATTCCCATTTCCCTGGCAGGCAGGTGGGGCACAGGCTGAACTCTGGCCCAAAGAAGATGAAAAGTGCTGTGTGCCACTTCCAGGCTGGCTCACGGAAACCTCCATCACAGAGGCCTTTTCTTTGCTCCTTCTGTCTGCTGGCCCTGTGTGGAAGCCCCAGCAGACATGCGTGAGATCTAAGATGCCCAAGGGACTCATGGGACACTGTATAATGGAGTAGTGAAACTTCACTCTGTTTAACCACTGACTTTTAAAGGTCTGGACAATACAACAGCAAGCATTACTTGCCATGTCTTCATCTAAGGTTTGCGTATTGAAGCAGATTTAAACTCAAAAATTGCTGTCTGTGGACACACAGAACCTCTACCAACCCATGAGGGCCAGGCCTTAATTCCACATTGGCTATCCTGGATGCTAGGAGTAACAAGTATTATCTCCCAGCAAACCTCTACACCTTTGGCACATCAGCTGGCTCCAGTGAGACCCTCAGAGTCTCACCTCAGGACTTCATTCATTGGCTCATTGCAATCCCTACTCCTAAGTAGTTCTCACCTCCCTATCCTTGCAGTATTGTGGTTTTTCCTCTGTGACTCCCTGTAGTAGATCGACTGCTTTGCTTATTATGTTTTTCTCTCTTAGTCTTCTCGAATTGTAGCTCTCTGAAGGCTAGGGTTTTGTTATTTTGCTCAAATACATGTACGTAGGTAGACTCATAGTTGATACTCAGTAGCCATTTAAAAAATTTCTTGAACGAATCAATCAATGCCATCATTTTTGGATACCTACTGCACACTGAGCTCACTAATAGGCCCTAAAGATACTGTGGTGAACAAATCAGCTCAGAACCTTCCGAAGGTGACAAGAAGATGAATGATGACAATTAAATGGAAACTGTATCATGATTACAGAGTAGTTGAGAGGGTTTGTCTGAGATACTCCCAGGGAAGATGATAACCCACTAGATGTCTGCAATTCTCCAGAAAAGGAGCGGGGGACTCAAAGAAGGAATTCCAGCATATGGAGAAAGCAGAAAACCAAGAAAAGCCCAAATGTGCAAATCTGGCGACAGAATACTGTCTGACAGAGAGAAGAGCCGAAGATAGCCTTGTGAAGCCACGTCTCAGGTGTTTGGAGTGTCCTAAGACAAGATAAAGCTGTTTCCAGCCAGTCTGTGAGGTAGGAAATCAGATATGAGCTTATGTGTGTGTGACAAAGGCCTAAGGAGACATTTAGGCCCAGCATATGCATCTCAAAGTCATCCCAATAACGTTTCAGGGGCAGCCTAGTATTTGCATCCTGCCCTGCCCCTTTCTTCCCAATAACCTGTCAGGTCGGGGTCCCTGCCCCTTCTGCCTGATATCTGCATTTCAGATATCATCCTGATCCTCCAGGGGGTTTTGCTCAACCTTCCTCTAACCCAGGGCAGCTCCAGCCAGTTTCCCCCTGTCTGATAACTTTGGAGAGGGGGGACTCAGATAGGAATTTTTCTATTTACATCCAAGAAGTCCTTTGTTCTAAGAGGAGCAGAGGTGGGAAGGCAAGACCCATCCCCTTAAAAACCCCTGGCCTCAACCAGACTGCGAGCTCAATCTACTGCCTTTATGCTGAGTCCCCCACCTGGCCTGGCCAGGTGTGCTCTTTATGTGACCCCGCTCTCCCCCAGCCTGAGTGACTGGGCACTCTCTCTCAGGTTCTGTCTGGAGAGGTGCCCATCCATTCTTAAGGATGTCCTTTCCCTAATAAACCTTGCTATTTTACTTTTCCCCTGCTCTCTGTCTCACGCCTGAATTCTTTCTTGCATGAAGACAAGAACCCTGATATTCACCAGTAACACTGGTGTTGCAGGTGGCAGCTTTATCCACTACGCCACAGTGCCAGCCCCTTGGCTGCTCCACTTCTGATCCAGCTCCTTGCTAATGTGCCAGGGAAAGCAGTGGAGGATAGCCCAAGTCCTTGGGACCCTGAAGTCATGTGGGAAATGCCGAAGAAGCTCCTGGCTCCATTTTTCAACCTGGCCCAGTCCTGGCCATTGTGACATTTAGGGAGTTAGCCAGCAGATTGAAGATATCTCTCTCCCTCTCTCTTTGTGTGTAACGCTGCCTTTCAAATAAATAAAATAAATCTTTAAAAATACTCAAACACCCAAGGTCCATTATACCAATAGTTTAAGCAAATCCAACCAAAAAGGAGCATATTTTCATTTTTAATATTTTTTAAGTTTATTTAGGGGGGACAGAATGAGGGGCAGAGAGGACTGTGCAAGAAAAGTGAGAACTGAGCCTGCCCTGATAGAACAGGGGATCTGAACCCAGGCTTCACTCCCTGATTTTTAATATTTGAATGTCTTATTCCATGACTGAGCTTGTCAATAAAGAGAAAAAAGTGAAAAAAAATGAGGAAAAGAAAAAAAGGGAGAACAAGAGAAAGAGGGAAAAAAGAAAAGGGAGCAAACATTTATTTTTAGTGTTTTTAATTCCGATTCTGTTGAACAATCTGACGTGGTCAGAGGACAAGTCTCAGTTTATTAGTAATGAAGTCAAAGTTTAACCCAGCAGCAGGGGATGTCATACCAGGGCAGGAACAACCATTACAATATGAAACCAGATCTTTCTTCTGTTAATTATTCTACAAATGGCTCACTGAATGAAACGACTACTCAAGTCTTTATTCATGTATTTGTTTTAATTTTACTTGAAAGAGAACAAAATCTTCCATCCACTGATTCACTCACCGAATACCTACAACAACCAGGGCTGGGACAATCTGAACACAGGGACCTGGAGTCCCATGCAGGTCCTCGACGTAGGTGGCAGGGACCCAACTACTTGAGCCATTGTTGTGGGGCTGTTAGTAAATGGTACAGTCTTATCTGTGCCATGATCTACGCCCTGGACAACATCCTAGGCAGCCATTGCTGGAAGCCAGGTGACCCCATGGCCCAACCACACGTGTCAGCTCCACCCCCACCCCAGTAGGATTTGCTGCTCCTACTTCCCTGCCCACCCCCGCCATGCAAAGGTTTAACAGGACCTGTTCCTGAACTCTCTCTCTCCTGGTTCCTCCTCTCTCTCATGCTCTCGCCCTTTCCCCTGGCCTGTTGGGCTTCCCCCACCTGACAATAAACCTTTCCCTTAACTCTGGTTTTTAGTGTGTTTTGTGATGGCCTTACATTGGTGTTGTGACCCAGATCCAGGCTCTCCCTTCTACCTTGTTCTCCCCCTCCGGGGACCTGAGCTGTGTTTGGATCCTCGATTTCTACCAGTCACAAAGCACACTCCTGGACCTCCTCCCATGGCACCGGATGCTCTGTGATCTCCATCCACACTCCAGCCTCTCAAATTCCTGAGATAAGACGAGGTGGGCAGTGGATCCTCTCAGTGCAGCTCTCCATGGCTTTTGTTTCTACTTCATCCAGAAGTTGTGGTACCAGGCACCACAAATCCTGCGGCCTCCTGCCTCTATGGACTCTGTCCAGACCACAGTGGGTGTGGATGACAACTCAGTTTCCCTTCTACAGGCTAAGCCCTGGACTGCAGTGGGCGTATGGGTGACAACCCTTGCCCTCTGTTCCCATATCCTCCCGTGGACTCTCGTGACCTCAGGGACGCCCAATATCCACCAATCCGACTCTATGGGTCACCATGGGAGCTTCTTCCCGAGTTCTGTCTGATCCTCCTCTGAGTTGTCTTCTACTTTGACAACTCAGTCCAAATGGCTGTTTAATGACACGTTTAACCAACATTATTGGGATGGCTACCACTCTGTGAGTGTTCGGATCAATGGAAGATTTCCTATGACTAAGCCTTCTAAATCCACTGGCGGTCTCTGGATCAAGTTCTCTTCCAAAGCTCTCCCTAAAAAGCCAAAAACCATTTCTTCTACATTCACGGCCTCGGCTTTCTCTGTCTCGCCTCACTGTACCTCCCCCTCCCTCCCAGGAAATCCAACCTTATCTCAGAACCAGCCCTCGTCCAAAGTCTCCCGTCTTATCTATGATCCTCTCTAACACTCTCCTCCCAGAGAAGCAAGGGCTAACGTTAACTATTGATAATATGTGTGCACAAGTAAAACAGATCAAAAGAATAGACAAGCTGTGAAATAGGTCTTCTAGTGCAATTTTAAATGGTGGGTGCAGGTCCTTGGGTCCTCTTCCACTGCTTTCCCAGGCCATAGCAGAGAGTGAATTGGAAGTGGAGCAGCCGGGACTCAATCAGCACCCATATGGGATGCTGGCACCGGAGGTGGCAGCTTTCTTTACTTCCTGTGCCACAGTGCCAGCCCCAAAACTCATATATCTTGAAACTAATTATTATATGAAATTGATCTGTTAATATTGTTATCAGGGCCTGGAGTGAACCACTGCCCCTTCGTTAAAGTTTTTCACTTTATAATAATTCTAAATAAGGGAAGATTTCATCACTTGTCAGTCTTTGAGCTAATCATCATTTTTGTAAAACTTGAACTAGTTTGTCCCTGACATTGGACTAATTTTTCTTTTACATGATTATCAAGTCTGGAGGTGATTGGGAGACACCGAGAGTATGAGAGGTTTGAGGTAGTCCATTTTTATTCAGAGAGATGGTTATATTGATTTATTTTTTCTAATTTAGAAATCAGACTAGACAACAGTCATTACAGAATTCATGATGATGAGAACATTAATCTTTTAAAAAAAAAGATCCATTTGTTTGAAAGGCAGAGATACAGAGAGAGAAGGAATGAGAGAGAGAGAGAGATACTCCATCTGCTCTTTCACTCCCCAAATACCCAAGGACTTGAGCCGTCCTCTGCTGCCTTCCCAGGCACATTAGCAGGGAGCTGGATCAGAAGTGGAGCAGCCAGGACTCAGACCGGTGCCTATGTGGGATGCCAGCATTGCCAGCGGAGGCTTAACTGTGTACGTCACAGCATCAGCACAGAGAACATATCAGTTGAGGCATTTTCTTCAACATTGATTTTACCTACTGAAATTTCCTTTGTTTCTCATCAATCATTCTCCTTTTTCTCCCCCAATATTTATTGAGCTACCTTAACAAATTAGAAAAATCCCCTTTGTTTTCAAACAAGTTAAAATAATAAACAGCAGCCAAGCATATGAACTATAAGTATACAAGGGGCCTTCAACAAGGTCAGAGAAAATGTATATTATGAAAAAACTATACATGGATTTCAATGGTTTTACACTAAATGTATATTTTCATGAACTTTTTAAAGTCCACTCGTTATCTGTCAACTCTTAAGTCTAGAACAAAGGCACATTCTCACCATCTGAGTTTATTCCTTTTATTTTTATTTATTTGAAAGAGCTAGAGAGAGAGAAAGAGATATGCCTTCTGTCCCCTGGTTCAGTACCCAAATGCCCATAATGCACCCAGGCTGGGTCTGGCCAAAGCCAGGCATCTAGAATCTATAAGGGTCTCTAGTGTGGGTGGCAGCAACCATGGTATTTGAGACCCCGTTTGCTGCCCCCCAGCGTACACAGCAGAAGCACCGATGCTGGGACGCAAATCAGGCGTCCACTGTGATGTGGACATAGGTGTCCCCAACAGCGGCTTTACCTGCTGTGCCACGGGGCCTTTTCTATCTCTGAGATGTTAACTATACTGTTACTGGTGATGGAATATTTAGATAATCATGGCCAAGTAACATTATGTCAAGATTCTAATTAGTGCTGAACATCAGACAAAGCAGAGTGAAAAAAATTTAATGTGATGACGGTTGTTGGTGATGAAGGGGCAGGTATTTGGCCTGATGGTTAAGGCAGCATCACCCAGTGCCTGGACTGGATCTCTGCCTGTGGCTCCTGACTCCAGCTTTCTCCGAATGCAAACCCGGGGTGGCAACAGTGATGGCTCAAGTCCCTTTATAGGAGGTCTGGATTGAGTTCCTGGTTCCTGGTTGTCCTGGCCAGGCAGCCTTCGTCCTTGTGGGCATTTGGGGAGAGGACCGTCAGTGTTCTCTGCCTTTCAAATAAACAAATTAAAAAAAAAATCATGAGGTTTACCTTTGTGAGAAAGGGCTCTGGAAGCTTCATTTAGATTGGAACAGCATTTAACAGTTATATTAAAAAGCAGATCGAGCAATGACTTTGCAGGAAATATTTTAAAATACCAAATATGCATACTTATTTTAACATCCCTCATTTCTTTAGGTGTGGGAATAAATTGTTGGTTGACCAATGACGATCAAGAAAAGCCTGGAGGTAATTTTTTGTGTTTCAAAGACATATGAAGTTTTATTGTTTTGAATTTGGGTATTGAATTTAGAACAGGTAAAAGGTACAAACATGAATCATAGGAATAAAATAACATTAAAAAGGTTGCAGTCGGGCCAGTGTTGTGGCACAGTAGGTTAAGCTACTGCCTTTGATACAGGCATCTCATCTGGTTCTGGTTCGAGTCCCAGCTGCTCCTTTTCCCATCCAGCTCTCCACTATGGCCTGAAAAGGCAGTAGAAGATGGCCCAATACATAAGTATCACCTTTCAAGCATGGAGAAATTTGAATTTTTTAAAAAATGGGAGTTTTGGCATCCTGCATTGTGGCATAGCAGGTAAAGCCACTGACTGCAACTCCAGCATTCCATATGGACACTGCTCCACTTCCGATCCAGCTCCTTACTAATGACCCGAGAAAAGCAGAGGAAGATGACTCAAGTGTTTGAGTCCCTGCTACCCATGTAGGAGACCTGGAAGAAGTTCCTGGCTCCTGGTTTAGGCCTGGCCCTGCCCCAGCTATTGCAACCTCATGGGGAGTGTCCCAGTGGATGGAAAGTCCCTCTCTCTGTAACTCTGACTTTCAAGTAAATAAATAAACATAAAAAATTAGAAAAATTGGAGTTTTTGCTATTTATACATATATTTTTAAAAAGTCTGTAATAGCCAATTAACATTTGTTTACATTATAATTTATTAAATTTCTGCTGAGGCAGACAATTTACTCAAAATTATTTTTAACCACAAAACAGAATATTTTAAAAAAGATTTATTTATGTATTTGAAAGTCAATGCTACAGAGAAGGAGAGGCAGAGGCCCCAAATAGCTGCAATGGCCCAGGCTGGGCCCAGGCCAAAGCCAGGAGCCAGGAGCTTCATCCGGGTCTCCCATGTAAGTGCAGGGTCCCAACCACTTGGGCCATCTTCTGCTGCTTTCCCAGGCGCATTAGCAGGGAGCTGGATTGGAAGTGGAACAGCTGGGACCGTATATGATGTAGTCACTGCAGGTCGTGGCTCGACTTGCTAGGCCACAATGCTGGCCCAGAAAATATTCGAATGACTGAGAAAGTTAGAAAAGGTAATTATGTTCAATAAAGAGCCACAAATATCTTTTACAAATGTTGATGAGTTAAAGAAGCAAAGGCAGGTAATTAAGATTAGAGGTCCATCATTACTGAGAACAGGCTCTCTGATCCACTTCTAAAGATGGCAGGAAACTAATTTCTAGTGCCATATCCCTTACAGTAAACTCATTAAGGTTTAGAACATAATGAACCTTTGTTGTATACGGGTATTAGAAGCACTCTGGTTTTCTCACTCAGTCCAATTTACAATGATCAATTTCTTCTCTCTTCTCTCAGAACTTGTGAAGGGACAATGATTTGCAATTTTTAAATCTTAAAACTTGAGAGGCTTTAGCATAGCCAATAAAGAGACACAGGTCAGTTTCCTTCTTGTCCTACCTCTTATCAGGCCTGATACTTTGTTAAAGTAAAAACTGACTAAAAGCAGCCATTTTAGCTTTGTATTTTCCTTCACACAAAGTATTTTTTCTGAATATATTGTCAACTATTTGGAGGAAACATGAGAAAAAAAAAGTTTTGGAAGAGAGTGGAAATGCATTCAAACACAAAATACCAAGCACAAGTTCTGGCAAAGGCCAGGAAAATAACAAAACTTGGTGACTGTAGCCTCAAATGCAGAGAATACTAAAATCCCCAAACATACAACCCCACCAAGACTCATAATTGAACTGAGCTCTGTCTTTGCCACCAAACAAATCACTTAATAATGTGACTATAAAGCCATAACTCAAAGTCCACCCCCGGTGCTACCAATATATACCCAGGTCAGCCACGTGCATTCAGATTGAGAACCAGAACAAGTGACAAACTTGGTCAAGATAAAACGTTAGCATGAAAAGCCCGGGACCTGTGAACAGGCAACCCAGAGGGCTCGGCTGGACAAAGGTCATATTCAGATCGCACATTTCTATGGATTCATGTTGTTGAACTCAGGTAAACACCTTGGTGGAATCTCCAGAATTAGATGGTCAGAGTAAGTGCCTAGCCTACTGTTTACCTATACTGAAGAGAACAAGCAATACAATTATTTTTTATACATCCAGAAGAGACAAGAAAAATTCATACATATGAATGCCAGGAAAAAAGGTGCAGTCGCCCTGTAACAGTGAGACTTGTTTGCAGTTTCTGGTTAAACTGACCAGGTTAGTCTGGATTGGAAACCACTCACTGGGCAACCAGCCCCAGGACAGGGGGGAAAAAAAAAAAGTGAAGGATTGTAGAAATCTCAAAGCAGTCGCGAGTACGGAAACCGCACTTCCACTTTAATCAGCTGAACGCTGCGCCATTTCGTCAAACTCAGGTGACTCGGGCAGCGACTGCAGCGTCTTGAGTGCACGCCAGACGGGCCCTTGTTTACTCCTGGATATGGCACACTTACACCGCAGGATCCTTGCGTTATTTTGCAACCGAAGTCAGAGAGTATTTTATCTACAATTGCAGAACCTTTTTATTACATAAGCCTTCTTTCACTTCCCAAAGACTTAATAATGCAAGCTCGAGTTGCAAACGTGTCCTAAACTTGAATGTGTTCCTGTCCACTTCAAAAACCTTTTATCGGTAAAAACTCACAATGCAAGCGCGTGAGGAGCAGCTGTCCATTTGCCAGCCTGTAACCATGCCTTCCGCGGCCAAGCCTGCAGCGGGAGTCGGTGCCTGTTTTCAACAGCTCCCCCTATACTCACCGGTGTGCCTCGTGGCCCCACAGCTCGGGACCTGGAGCTGACCGACAACCCTGGAAACCCGGACACAAACGCCCACGAACCCTCTACGCAGGTCACCCACCTACGCCTAGGACTAAACACGGAGAATAAAGTAGCAAAAAAAAAAAATAAGCTTTTAATTTGAACTGCGTAGTTCTTCAATATTATTGCCCACTTACATTTACAATCTCCAGTCCTGTATTTTTACAGCTTCAGTTCCCCCACCTTTGGCGCTTCCAACACGATCAACGCTAGCTCTTTGCCACAGCTCTGTTTGTGAAAGCGTGGGTGGCTCTGAAAAGAGCCTTTGGGGTGAGGGGCTGCGGCGCCGACCCGGGCGCTCACTTGGAGCTGGTGTACTTGGTGACGGCCTTGGTGCCCTCGGACACGGCGTGCTTGGCCAGCTCGCCGGGCAGTAGCAGGCGCACAGCCGTCTGGATCTCGCGCGACGTGATGGTCGAGCGCTTGTTGTAGTGCGCCAGGCGCGAGGCCTCGCCGGCGATGCGCTCAAAGATGTCGTTGACGAACGAGTTCATGATGCCCATGGCCTTGGACGAGATGCCGGTGTCGGGGTGCACCTGCTTGAGCACCTTGTACACGTAGACCGAGTAGCTCTCCTTGCGGCTGCGCTTGCGCTTCTTGCCATCCTTCTTCTGCGCCTTGGTCACCGCCTTCTTGGAGCCCTTCTTCGGGGCCGGCGCAGACTTCGCGGGTTCAGGCATTTTCCAATCGTTAACAGGAAGCAGCACAATAAGACCAAAGCGCACAGAGCGTCTACTTATAGGGCATTTATGCTAATAAGGGATGTAGCGTGCGTCTACGCTCATTGGAAGACGAATGGTAGGGCTGTCACCCGGGGGCAGAGCTATGCAAATGAAGAATGCAAATGTTGCTCTTCTATTGGCTTCTGGGCTAGTCTCGCTGCTAGCCAATCAGGAGGCCGGATTTACTACCCAGGAAATGGCTATAAAAGCAGCCATGTTGTTGCCTGTTTCCAGACTCGCCTTACACGTGAGTTTGGTTTTGCTTGTGTGTGGTTGTTTCGTTTTACTCTCTAGCCATGTCTGGCCGTGGGAAGCAAGGAGGAAAAGCACGCGCTAAAGCGAAGTCTCGCTCGTCTCGCGCGGGCCTGCAGTTCCCCGTGGGCCGCGTGCACCGCCTGCTGCGCAAGGGCAACTACGCCGAGCGCGTGGGCGCCGGCGCCCCGGTGTACCTGGCGGCCGTGCTCGAGTACCTGACGGCCGAGATCCTGGAGCTGGCGGGCAACGCGGCGCGCGACAACAAGAAGACGCGCATCATCCCGCGCCACCTGCAGCTGGCCATCCGCAACGACGAGGAGCTCAACAAGCTGCTGGGCCGCGTCACCATCGCGCAGGGCGGCGTGCTGCCCAACATCCAGGCCGTGCTGCTGCCCAAGAAGACCGAGAGCCACCACAAGGCCAAGGGCAAGTGATTGGCGAGGCGGCTGCTACCGGAAACCCTACCAAACCCAAAGGCTCTTTTCAGAGCCCCCACCCTCTCAGGGAAGAGCTGACACCGTTGTGGATAGAGGTGGAACTGGGTTGTTGAACGGGTGACACTCCGCTTTTACCTGTAAGGCTGACTGGGGAAACGGAACGTCAGCTATAAACCTAGTGATTCTTGAAGCGCTTGTAGTTTTGGGACTGGCCGTGGGGAGTTGGATAACTTGGGAGTGTAAATAGCTGTGTGCTCAGGGTTCCCATAAATTACCCAGTGTTCTCCAGGGTAGGCCCGCGCCGGGGGGGCGTCACCGTCCCCAACCACGCCCCCAGCTCCGCTCTTGCCCCGCCCCCGGGTCCGCGGGCGGGCCCGCAGCGGGCTGCTCCCGGCTTCGCTCGGAGCTCCGGGCTCAGCTCCGTGGGCGCTGCAAGGGCGACCTCAGACCTCACTAGGGCCTCTGGAAAGCTGGTCGCGGGTACTTCGTGTGCACTCGGCAACAGCGCAGACTATTGAACTCCAATTGTAGCTTTTACCCTCATTACTGGTTGCAAGATTAACCCTGGGCTCAGTTTTTACATCTTTAAATTGGGTGTATACTGCCCGTGGGTAAACATAAGGCCTCTAAGCCAGGACAGTGACTGACATTCAACCAATTAATCAAACGCCTAGGTTTCCAATGAAGTCGGGGAAGCCAGGTTTTCCCCAAATCGTGGCTACAGTGGGTCCGTTAATGCCCGCTCCCCCCCGTAAGGAGTGGCGATCTAGGGCTGTACCACAGTTGCTGTGGTCTTAGAGTGCCGCCATAGTTTGCTATGGACGGCCTGGTTTGCGGTTTGATAGTGGAGTGGGCGGCGAAGCTGGCTGGGTTGTGGGCGGCAGAGGCCAAGAGAGTGGATGCTCAGACCGGTCAGGCAGGGTCCCTCGCCCTGGGACAGCCCCTGAAGCGTTTTGCGTGCAATCTTCATTTCCGGCCTTTAAATCCAAGGGTGTCCCAGGACACTTTATTATTATTCTGTGTTTAATGAGCTACGCAGAGGCTGGTTCCTAGGGATGCACCTGCTTTCCACAGTGACACAGGCCAAGCTGTCTCGAACGGTCTCTTCCTCGTTCGCCTCGGATCCGCACAGGCTCCTTTAATAACCACCCTCAAAGAAAAAGGATGCGGTGTCTCCTTTGAAGAAAGACCAAATGACCACCTTGAGAGCTGCGCATGAGAATTTCCTGATGCGTTTATTTAGCCTTACAAGCTTTGTCTGCATCCTCAGACACAAGGAGTCCAGCCTCCCAGCTCTCTGCGCCCAGGGGCTTCTCCCACCCAGCATTTCCTGCAGGCGGGAGAACTTGGAGCCTTAGGTCGGAGCTGTTTTAGATGAGCCTTCGGATCGTGCTCTTTGACCTGCCAAGTTGCCTCTGAACCCAGCTTTCTGGGGTCTCCTCTTTTACCATCTATTAGATGAAATAAGCCACTTTATGTCCAAAAGCCCCAGTTGCTTCCAGGGGGAAATTTCTGTAGTGAGGAATAAACTTGGAGCTTCGTGGGTTTCCAGTCCTTGAGCAGCGTTCTGCTTCTAGCTGAGTTCGAGAGTGCTGGGGAGGACTATTTAAATTGGGGCAATTTGGTGAGAATGTTGTACCTATGTTTCCCGATTACTGAAGGCACCTGGTCGCCAGGAACAAAAGTTTAATCTGGAGGAGTTACTGAGACGTGAGACTGAGGTAGAATCATCATTTGGATAGATAGGGTATCCTGAACATGCCAGGTCAGAGTAATAATATTAACAATTCCAATATTCCTTTTTAAAAAGGATTTATTTATTTACTTGAAAGTCAGAATTACACAGAAGAGGCAGAGAGAGAAAGAGAGAGGTCTTCTGTCAGCCAGAGCTGTGCCAATCCAAAGCCAGGAGCTTCTTCCGGGTCTCTCACGTGGGTGCAGGAGCCCAAAGACTTGGGCCATCTTCTACTGCTTTGCCAGGCCACAGCAGAGAGCTGGATCAGAAGCGGAGCAGCCAGGATTTGAACCGGCACTGCAGGACTTGAACTGGGATGCTGGCACGGCAGACAGCAGCTTTACCTGCTCTGCCACAGCGCCAGCCCCTCAATTTTTTTCTTTAAAGTCCCATTAGTCTGTGTAGCAGTATCCTTTGTTTTATTTCATTTGTCATGTCCAGTTTCTATTTTTTTGTGTCATTTGAACCCCTTCCTTTCTTCTACACATGATAAATTTTATAACCAGATATAAAACATTATAAAATATAAAATATTTTAGGGATGGATGTAAGTTATGTTCTAAGGGTTTATCATTGTTGATACTGTCATAGTTCCAGGTTTATATAGCCCTGTTAAGTATAGTATACCTGTATTTGGAAGATTATTGGGAATTAACTGAGGATTCTCTGCATACTGAAACTAAGAATAAAGGCTAATTTGTAGCCACAAGAGTCTCCCCACTTTATTTTATTCCAATACCTTAATATTGTGCTAGACAAAGGAAGATAAGCACCATGGCGAAATCTACTGAAAGATATCCGTTGCCTATATTAGCACCTAGAAAGAAAACTCAATAAGCAGACAAATCAATGAAATTAAAGAAAAGGAAGTACAACCATCGTAGCTTCAAGAGAAATTAGAACATGGCATGTGCCTTCAAAATTAAGTGAATTAGGTGGTGAATTAGTATAGTCATATTGAAGCAGTATCACAATTTCATTGCATTTCAGTTGTTTAAGTTGTAGTTGGGGTAGACTGGGGAACCAACATCTCTTAGGATTTACACCTTATGTGCATTGCTCATAGTTGAGGTTCCTTCTGAAATAAGTAAGGGTGCCACCCTTTAGATTTGTTTGTATCAAGCAGCATTTGGTTGCTGCTTGGGGCTGAAACCTTTCCCTCATCCTTCACTATCTTTCTTAGTCTACTGAGGTTGCCTTAATAAAATATCAGACTAGATGACTTACACAGCGGAAGTTTATTTTTTTCGCTCTTGAGGAGGCACCGGCAGGGCTGGCTGCTGGTGAGGCTGTCTTGCTGGCTTACACGTGGGTGCCGGCTCCTTGTGTGTTCACATGACCCTTCCTTTCAATGCAGGGGTGCAGACCGAGTTCTGCGGAAGGATTAGAACCTCACTGTTTGTTTTTAAAGATTTATTTATTTGAGTTAGGAAAAATAAAGAGCATGAGTGTTGCTTGTTCACTCCCCCAAAATGGCAGCAATGGCCAGAGCTAGGCCAGACCTGAGCCAGGAGACAGGAGCTTCTTCCACATCTCCCGTGTGGGTGCAGGGACCCAAGCACTTGGGCCATCTTCCACTACTTTTGGAGGCACATTAGCAAGGAGCCGGGTTGGAAGTGGAGTAGCTGGGACTTGAAGGGCTCATTTAACTTTAACTTGTTCTTGGACTTGGTATGACCTCATTTAACTTTAATTATCTGCTCAAGGCTCTATCTCCAAATTCAGTCACTTAGGACTTAAAACATATTAATTCTTGGAAACAATTTAGCGTATAACCATTCCTCCTTTCTCCCATGAAAACTATATTCATTCCTTCCCAATTCCCAGAGTCTTAATTCAGTACAGCATTAATTCTAAGGTCCAAAGCATCATTTAAATATGACCTAAATGACATATGGGTGAGACTCATGGTGCAATTCTTGTTGAGGCAAAATTTCTCTCCAACTGTGAACCTGTGATACCAAGCAAGTTATGTGCTTCTAAAATTTAATGATAAGACAGGCATAGAACAGACATTCTCTTTCCAAAAGGGAAAAATAGGAATGAAGAAAGGGGGAGTGGGTCCTATGCAATTCTAAAACCTGGCAAAGCAAATTCCATTAGATCTCAAGGCTTGAGAATAATCCTCTTTAGCTTGTTGCCCTGCACTTCTGGCACGACAGTGTGGCAGGGTCGCTTCCCTGGCTCCCCAGGCAACCTCCTTTTGCTCTGTCGGGTGCCCACTCCTTGAGTTTTGTGGGGTCCCATCCAGACAGAAGTCTATGAGGGACTTGGCACACACAGCGTTGCTGGGCATCCTTCCAACTGAGGTAGAGGCAGCTATGTTTGCCTCCTGCTGCAACCCTCCCCTAATGATCACTGAAGCACCTTTGGGCTCCTTCTTCCCTTTTCTTGTAGGATAGTATGCTTTCACAGCCAGACAGTGCTGGGATGGCTTATAGGGTCCAAAAAATCCACCAGCCTTCCTTCATTTCATCCCTTCTAGCTGAGTTCAAACTGACGGTGTCTCTGCAGGTGTAATCCCAACTCTGCCTGGTTTCTGCTGAGATGACAGATTAAGTCTTTGAATCATACCCAATGTTTGCTTTGTCAAATGGTTGATCGAACAAACCTCTTCTAGAAAAGCTTTCATATGCTTTACAATATGGATAGTGATAGACTGAGTATTTTCTAAATCTCCCAAATACAGGTTTATTTTTGCTTAACAATTCATTCTTTATTTTATTTTAAGATTTATTTATTTGAGAGTCTGAGTTACACACAGAAGGAGAGGCAGAGAGAGAGAGAGAGAGGTCTTCCATCCGTTGATTCACTCCCCAACTGGCAACAATGGCCGGAGCTGTGCCAATCCGAAGCCAGGAGCTGGGGGTTTCTTCAGGGTCTCCCACATGGGTGCAGGGGCCCAAGGACTTGGGCCATCCTCTACTGCTTTCCCAGGCCATAGAAGAGAGCTGGATCAGAAGTGGAGTAGCCGGGACAAGAACTGGCGTTCTTATGGGATGCCAGCACTGCAGGTTGCGACTTTACCCTCTATGCCACAGCGCCCGCCCTTCATTCTTAATCACTTTCCTCTCAAATAATACAGTAAATGGTAGTGAGGATCTAAACCACATGCTAAATCCTTTGCTTAGCTCTCTCCTCTTCTGAATATCCAGTTTCATGGCTTCTTGGCCTTTTGGCTAAGGTCAAGTGTAAATATCCAGTTTCATCATCTGCAGGTGCTACCTTTCATCAAACACTAGGACACTTCATAGAAAGATCACCTGCCCTGCAGCGTGCAGCAGCCTGTCCCCCATTCCCATCCCAGACCTCAGCAGAATGGCCACGATGTCCATTTTGGCCAATGTTATGCTCACGATTATTTACACTTTCCCTCCATCTCTGTTTCTTTCTGAGCCCTCACCAGAATTGCCTTTAATGTCAGTTTTCATCTGTAGTCCCTTCACGGCAATTGGCCATTACAGATAAACCTCATAACTCTGTCAGCCTTTACCCATCACTCAGTTCCAAAGCCACTTCTTCATATTTAGGTGTTCGTTGGAGGAGCACCTTTCACTTCTTTGTACCAAGATCTGTTCTGCTTGGGCTCAGACTGGGTGGTTTAGCAACAGAACTGTATTTTCTCTGCATTCTGGAAGCTGGAAGTCTGAAGTCAAGATGCTACAGTACATATTTTTGGTGAGACTCTCCTCTGTGTTGTGGTTATCATGGATGCCAGGCAGATGAGAACCTCCACATTGGCTGTGACTTTCCACCACAATCAGTTGTCCTTGTGTGAAATATCCACCTCAAGGTTGCCAGAGCCTTGTGTGCTCCAAATCTGTGGAACGTGGGACTTTGGTGCTGGTCCCCATAGTTTACTCCACCTGTTTGATGGTTTCATCAATACTGTGGTTTTGAAGACCATTTATATGCAGTGAAACTCTTAAGTTTCCAGCCCTGACTTCTTCCTGAATGTAGATGTGTATGTCCAGACGTTTAGCAACCATCATCACTTGGGAAGGCAACAGGCCTCTCTGTCCAAATACTTCCAAGACAATGCATTAACATGTGGTTCCTAAGCCTCCACATCTCAGTAAAATGACGCTATCATAAATTCATGGACTTGGGGCTGGTGTTGTGTCATAGCAGGTAAATGCCATGCTTGCATCCCATATGGGCGCTGGTTTGAGTCCCAACTGTTTCACTTCTGATCCAGTTCTCTGCTATGGCCTGGGAAAGCAGCGGAATATGGCCCAAGTGTTTGGGCCCCTACACCCATATGAGAGACCTGGAAGAAGCTCCAGGCTCCTGGCTTTGGATTGGCCCAGCTCTGGCCGTTGCAGCCATTTGGGGAGTGAATCAATCTCTCTCTCTCTCTCTCTGCCTCTGTTACTGTGCCTTTCAAATAATAAATAAATAAAATCCTTTAAAAAAAGTAATATGTGGAATTTCTGAGAACAATGAATTGCCACTGTTGTATAATATTTAAGAACTTGTCCTCACAATATGTATTAAAATTTATTAACAGACAGCTGGGAAGGGGTAGGAGGTTACCTTCTAGAAACAGAAGCCCCGCTCTGTAAGGTTATCTGTGTAAGGACTCTTTTTCAACACTGAAATGAGAACAACAAATGAAAATTCATTACAGTTATAAACTGACTAAATAACATGGGGAAAAATACTGTGGACTTTAACAATGGAGCGTTTATCCACACCATGGAATAGGAGGCAGCTTCCAAACACAAGAAGTCAATGAAACTGAGTCACAACCTCTGGGAATCAGGGTGTACAGAGAAAGGTGTGGGAGAAAACACATCACAGCATTCATTTCAGGGAGGTAAAATTAGAATAGGATGAGGCAAGATCATTAATCTTTATAAATATCTGTGTGGGAAATATTAAAATAAGCATGTGTGAATATGGTAACTTAATAGAGAAAAAAAGAAACAAACAACAAAAAAATAAGCTCCTTCTCTCTGCTTCCAATCCTAAATTACTTTCTATCGATCAGAAACTATAGTGTGAGATTGTGTTGATCAGTTCTCTTGGTCTGCAGCTCCTCATTGGAAACTCTGCTCCACAAAGCAGGGACCTGCCTTGTCTGTTTACTGCTGTGTCTTGGCACTTACTGGGCACTCATATGTCTGGCAAAAGAATCAGAGAACAAATGCATTCTTCCAGAAGGTCCTTTCACTGCCCAGCTTGTGCCTATCCAAATGTCCATAAACCACTGCTAATATGTTACCTATTCACCTGCCTGAGCTATCAGAAATACCATGTAATGTGGAAGTCTGTCCCATTTGTATCCCACGCTCCATTCTTTTCCTGGTTTCGGTGTAACTTCCTCAGACTTCAGTAACACCTGCACAGGTAGCGATTAACTTAGTTAAGGGTCTGTTCTCTACTGGTTGTTATTAAGCATAAAAGAACCAACTTTAATACATTACAGATGTTTAATAGCCTTTGGTTAATGCATGTTTGCCCAGAACTGTGGAAAGAAAAGGTCACTCAGCAGCTGTGTGCATGTGTGACCGAATCAGTGCTATTTCATCAAATAACAAAATTATTCTGTGATAGGGCAAGCTTACTGGTTCCTGATGCTGGGATTATCCAGTCACTGCTCTCATCCACAACGTGAGTCTGTTGAAAAATTCTGCCTCACTCATGTCTGTACCCCTGCACTTCTCATCCTTCCCATAGGTCTTCAGTAAATCTGCTTACTGAAGCAGGTACTACTAAGAATGAGTATCTGTGCAGAACTGGTGCCGTCACTTTCTAAGCTGCAGGAACCTGTGAGTTTATTCCGATGTTATGTACCATTTTAGTTTCCACTTGCTCTAAATTCTAGTTGCTAAATTTGGATAGAAATACAAGACTAATCGAATTCTAGAGCTATGTTTTCAAATACAGCAGCCATTAGCCACATGTGACATTTTAAATCTAAATTAAATAATGAAATTAAAAATTCAGTGTCTCAATCACAGGAATCCCATTTCAAGCTGCAGATGGCTGCTGTATTTTGGCAGCACAGCTATGGAATGTGGTTTTCATTGTGAGGCTTCTCTGAGACAGCACAGAGTTAGGTACTCATCACTCTGGGCTAACAAAGTCAAGTGCACAACTTCCTCCGGGTGGCATCCAAGGATGAGTTCCCCAGGTAAAACACAGAACGCTAGTTCAGTTTGCAGTTTACTAAGCCACACTGAACTGTTGTAGTATAGGTTCCCCTTCCCCAATATCACGTGAGACATACTACACTGAACAAAACACCAAACCTGATGCTTGCCTGAAATTCAGCTATCACTGGACATTCTGTATTTTCAATCACCAAATCGTAAGAGCAAAATTGAGGCAGCTTCCCCAAGAAGCTGGGTGTTCCCCGGACAGAAGCTAGTGCATTAGGAGGCAAATGTTCTGTGACGTTTTCTCTATGTGTGAGGAAAGCTGAGGAGGAGCTTCCTAAATACATTTACCTTGGTTTCCTCTCTCCCTCAGGTTGCAAAAGCTCTGCAGCTTTTCAGGCCCCAAATGCCTGAATTCCTGAACCCAGACTGCCTGCCACACCCAGTTAAGCTCAGAAATAAATGGATGGATGACATCACTGTTCCTACCTCATGACTGATTATGTATCCGTGATTTTTTTTTCTTATTAAAGACTTACTCTATGTTTATTTCTGTGGGTTTATGTGTGTGTGTTGGGAATAAAGAGAGTAGGAGAGAGACAGGATATTACTGAGAGGAGGCTCCCTTTAGTACAAAGTATGTCAAATCGTTACAGTGGGTAATTCACTCACAGGGTTCCCACAACCTGGAACAGGCAGATCCACCCAACATTGAGCATCCCTCCTTCACTCCCCCTAACTAGGTGGTCACTTTCTTCTTATGTATCTCTCCAGTGTTAGTTCATGCTGGTGTTAGTCCAGAATGAATATGTTTCATTTCCCTCCTTTTCGTTCTTACGAGGAAGCAGGCTGCACACACTAGTCTACACTTAATCTCCTTATAACAATGTAGCTTGGAGAGTTTCCCTTACAAGGATACTTGGAGTTTCCTGTACACTGTTAAACAGTATTGCAGTATGTGCATGCTTCATAGTTGATGTAACTCATCCTGTGTGAGGGTTCACCAGAGAGGTAGAACCAATGGGATATATAGAGGTACGTGACAGAGGATTTATTAGGGAAACTGGCTCATGCATGCAAGACAACTGAGGAGCCCCACGACAGGCCTTCTGCAAGCTGAGACCCTGGGACTTGGCAGCATGGCTCAGTCCAACCCCAGAGACCTCAGAACCAGGGAAGCTGGTGGTACAACTCCCAGCCAGAGGATGACAGCCTGAGAGGCAGGGAAGGGGGCCACTGGGTTAAGTCCTGAAACCCAGAGGCTGGAGAGCACAGCATTCTAATGTCCAAGAGAGAGCAGTACACCCAGCTCCAGGACAGAAACACATACATCTTCCTTTGTTGTTGTTGTGTTTTGTTTTTAACTTTTGTTTATTTATTTAAGAGAGAGAGAGACATTAATCTTCCATCTGCTGGTTCACTCCCCAAATGTCTGCAACAGCCAAGTCTGGGCCAAGCCAAGGCCAGGAGCCTGGAACTCAATCCAGGTCTCCTGTAGGAGTAGCAGGGACCCACGTTCATGAGTCACCATCTGCTTCTGCTCAGGAAGCTGGATTAGATGCAGAGGAATCAAGACAAAAATTAGACTTTCCAATATGGGATGTGGGAGTCCCAGGAGGAGTCTTAACCACAGTGGCCAATGCCTGCTTCTTCCCTCAGTTTTTGCTCCATGCAGGGCCCCAGACAGTTAGGTGGTGCCAGCTCGTATGAAAAGCAGGTTTCCCCCCACCTGCAAATACTCCCTACCCATGAATTTAGAGGTTGAATGTCCAGCACATGAAATTTGAGGAACACATTCAATCCTCAACAATCTTCTTCTTGGGAAAGTACATGGTTTATTGCCAGTCTTTTGCATTAAAATAATTCTGGAACAGTTAACCTTGATTTGCAGAAAAACTGAAACTGCTGTCATATTTTACTGGAATTGTGCAATGTGAAATTCAAGTCTCTCTTGAGTCGGAATCAAGGTTCTATGAGACCATCACCCGTCATTTTGAACTGCAACTTCTTCATCTGAAAAGTGGAGATAAAATGCACCTTAAGTGATTAGGGGAATGAAAAAAAAATGATGGTTATGATTTATTTGGAGTGCTAAGGAGCAGCACAAATAAAATTAGTTAATGTTCATCACCATTTGTTTTGTGAGAGTCATACACAATAGTCATTTACTGTAAATCCTCTCCCATAGATCCCCCAAACACTAGGCTGGCCAGGAAAGAAAGGTGGTGCACGGAGAAGGAAGGCAAGGCTGCGGCTGATCTGCCCAGGTTGCTCACTGAATAATTGCTGTTTCCCCTACTACCTGAGAAGGAATTAGGAAACTCCCCCTCCTGGCCTGCTCATCCTCTCAGCCTTGGGCTTTTTCACCTGCAGGGGAGATCAAGCTTCAGGGATGTCTCAGCAACCCTGCTCAGTCTGCATGTGACTGGGACCAGGTCTGCTGCTGTAGTGCCGTCCCAGCACAGAGCCCAGTGTGGCCTGGCATACAGTAGTCAAGCAACAGCGAGTGAACTCAGGAGGCCTACTCGGTGGAGCTTTGAATTCTGTTCCTGAAGATCCTACAGCTGGTAGAAGAGAATTTTCAAGCAGAATTGGAAGAAAGTGGGACCCAATTTAGTCTTTTTTAAAAAAACTTTTATTTATTTATTTGAAAGTCAGAGTTACACAGAGAGAGGAAAGAGAGAGAGAGAGACCTTCTATCCGCTGGTTCACTCCCCAGTTGGCCACAATGGCCGGAGCTGCGCTGATCCAAAGCCAGGAGCCAGGAGCTTCTTCCAGGTCTCCCACATGGGTGCAGGGGCCCAAGGACTTGGGACATCTTCTACTGCTTTCCCAGGCTGCAGCAGAGAGCTGGATCAGAAGTGGAGCAGGCGGGACTGGAACCGGTGCCTATATGGGATGCTGGCACTTCAGGCTAGGGTGTTAACCCACTGCGCTACATCGAGGACCCCCCAATTTATTCTTAAGAAATGCCTATGCACAGGGACAGTGCTGTGGCTTAGTGAGTTGAGCTGGCACCTGCAGTGTCAGCGTCCTATATGGGTACTTTTTCAAGTCCTGACTGCTCCACTTTCCAATCCAGCTCCCTGCTAATGTGCCTGGGAAAGCAGCAGATGATGGCCCAAGTCCTTAGCAGCCAGCATCCACATGCGAGGAGGACGCTCCTGGCTCCTGGCTTCAGACTGGCCCAACCCAGGCCATTGCAGCCATTTGGGGAGTGAACCAGTGGATGGAAGACCTCTCTCTCTGTAACCATGCTTTTCAAATAAATAAATCTTTTTTAAAAAGTCTCTGCAGTTAATCTATAAAACCATTTTCTGTGGTTTCCCATGTGTGAAAGCATATACCAGCATAGACCTGAAGTCAGCTATTCTGGAAGGATGGACGGCATCTGGCTGGGGTTCCAGCTCTGCAATTTCCCAAGTGTCTGACTGCAGCTCAGTCACTTGCTGTCTCTGAACATCAGTTTTTTTCATCTATAAAGTGCAATAACAGCACCTCTCAGAATTATGCAAGGAAAAAGCAAATGAAAGGGCACCCAGAAAGCACTCGGTTTCTTGTAAAATCTAAGGTTATTTGAGAGCTCTTCACAGATGTCATGGAAGATGTGTATTATAAGAAAACTATGCATGGATTTCTGCACCAAAAGAAACTTATCTTTTAGTTCCACAAACTTTGAAAAAATCTTGGATGAAGACTATCCATGGTCTCCAAGCATGGAAAAGTGAAAGCAGGCAAGGATATTAGCATTCCCATCAGGGATGTTGATTCCACCTGCCGACTCTGGAGTAATTGGAGTTGCTAACAGCTCAAGCCCCAGCTGCTGCTGGCTGCAGTTCACTCGCAGGGCCCAGCGAAGCTTCTGGAGGAGGCCAGCTGCAGACCGCCACAGTGAGGAGCAGTGGTGACCCACATCTCCCCGCACTCTCCTCCAGGGTCAGAGGCAGCATCCCAATTCTGTGCGTAGAATTTTCCAGACAGGGTGCCCCACACTCTACCCATTCAGCTTTTGTCCAACCTAACTCTCTGCTGGCAGTGGGGACAGGAGAATTCATCCCTACTGAGCATCTGAGAAGGATCACAGAGAAAGGAAAAGAGAGGAAAACCTTGGAGCAGGACCCCAGGTATGCAGGCACTGTGGGAGGAAGGAATAAATAAATGGGAGCTCAGATGAAACTGCCATGGCCTGTAATGCAATCCCTTCTGACTGCAGATGGGACTGGGGCTCCCAACCAGCCACTCCTGTGTATCACTCCAGAAGCAGGCCAGTGCTGTGTCCACACCCCTGAGCTTGGTGTTCTGCGCTTGGTGTTGTCATTCTCAGCTCTCCAAGCAAAACCCACGTGTCATTTTGAATATTTCCTTTCTTTGTTCTATGTGCAGTGTAACATTGGGAGCCTGATATTAGATAAAATGGCACTATTTTTTACCAGGCAATTAGTAAACGTTATAAATCAGGTTTGTGTGTGTGTGTATGCGAGTGTGTCTTGTTTTTGGGGAAGCAGTTGATAAACAATTAGAAGTACACCAGTGCCTTGAATACCTTCCACTCCTTCCTGGTAAAGGAATGCTTGCTTTCTCTCTCTCTCCCTCCCTTCCTCCCTTCCTTCCTTCCTTCCTCCCTTCCTCCCTCCCTCCCTTCCTTCTCTCTCTCTCTCTCTTTCTCCCTGCCTCCCTCCCTCATTGGCTCACTCTGTTGTGCTGTTAAAGCTCCTGTTTCACCTCCCAGGTGACTCCCATCATGCTCTGGGCTGACTAATGTGCCACACTCTGCTGTGACCTGCACCTACCACATCCACTTTGCTATTGTTTCTCACCGTTGATGTTCTTGAGCCTGCCTTCCACGTGTTATGCAAGCGCTCTTCTCACAGATATTCACCTGCCTCAAGCCTCACTTCCATCAGCCTCTCACGTTCATATCCCATTCCTCAGTGAGGCCCCTTGACTGCTCTCCCTCTCCCAGAGGGAGTGATACCTGCTGGGGGTGGCTGTAGTCTGGTGGACTCCAATGCTGGGACCGTGCACTGCAAACACAGCACTGTCACTCAGGCCGCAAGCAAAGATGCTGTGAAGACAGAAGCAGAACAACTTAGCCGATGACCCCAGGGACCTCCTCTGGGTTGCTTGGTGATGAACCTGGAACTATGGCTGCTTCTCTCCCCGTGGGAGGATCAGCCAATGTCCCCAGGTGCTAGGAGACTGGTTTCCTAGATGATACACAGAAAATGTTTACTCTCCTTATTACAGTCTCTGGGAAAGCAACTGCATAGGGCGTGGGGACCCTGATGGAGCACAGCCCCTCTGAGCATCAAGCTAACCACTAACAGGTGCATAGTTTGCGAGCTACTTGAGAACAAGTATTGTCCATCTCCTGACACTGGCCCAAAAGTTCCAATCGGCACACATGACACTGTGCCGGCTGACATGACAGACAGAAGCCAGGAGAGGAAGACCACATTTGGTTAAGTCAGCAATGAGGTGTAGTCAGGGGGAGAGAGCACACAGCCTTCATGAAGGAGCTGGGATCCCATTTTTTACCACTATCCTGATCCCCTCGTGTCTCATCTTCTCAAATGCTCTGAATGAAAACCACTTTAAAAAAAAAAAAGATTTATTTATTTATTTGAAAGTCAGAATTATAAAGAGGCAGAGAGAGAAAGAGAGAGAGAATCTTCTATCCTCTAGTTCACTCCCCAAATGGGCCAGTCCAAAGCCAGGAGCCAGGAGCTTCTTCTACCAAACTGGGTCCAAGTTGGATCTCAGAAGGCTGCCTCTGAGGTGAAGACAAGTACTTCGGTCATCAAGACTCAACATGAAATCGGTCCTTTCCTAGACCAGTCACATGGCTGTTGGCACAAGTCACTTCTTCCAGGGTTCCTAGTCGGAGGGCCTCAAGTCCTTGGCTGCCTCCTGCTGGGTGAGCCTTTCCATATCATAGCTTCCCAGGAACAGCTGGGGTTCTCCTATAAGAAAGAGCAAGTGAGAGGTCCTAGACAAGCGCCAGCCTGTGTCACCTAATCTCAGAAGTGATAGAAACAAGTCACTAGTGCAGCACACAGCCAGCGAGCAGGGCAGTTGTGTGAACTCCCAGAATGGGTCAGCCATGGTCTCTTTCTCTTTTTTTTATTTTTAAGATTTATTTATTTATTTGGAAGTCAGAGTTACACAGAGAGAGGAGAGAGAGAGAGAGAGAGAGAGAGAGAGAGAGAGAGGTCTTCCATTCACTGGTTCACTCCCCAGCTGGCCACAACGACCAAAGCTGTGCCAATCTGAAGCCAGGAGCCATGAGCTTCTTCCAGGTCTCCCACGCAGGTGCAGGGGCCCAAGCTCTTGGGCCATCTTCTACTGCTTTCCCAGGCCACAGCAGAGAGATGGATTGGAAATGGAGCAGCCAGGACTCGAACCGGTCTCCATATGGGAAGCTGGCACGGCAGATGGCGGCTTTACCCGCTATACCACAGCGCCAGACCCTTGCCATGCTCTCTTTCAAACAAGGCACCCCAGCTTCTTGACATCTTTAAAGACAGAAGTATATTTCAGTGTTTTCTAGGGTTCCCGGATTACTGCACACACATGGTGATACACTCATGGGTCTGAAATGGCAGAAACATTTCTATTTGACTTTCTGCCTGTGTGGTTTTTTTAAAACATCTTATTTCTGAATAGTTTTAAATATACAAAACAAAAATTGTGAGGTAGTAATACAGAGGTCCTACATATGGTTTGCTGTATATCACTGAAAACTACATTTCCCAGATTCCCATGCTCTCTGACTTCCAATAGATTTGGCCAATGGGAAGCACTGTTGGAAGATGATGGTGGAACTGGAGTATTTATTTCTTCCTTCTTTGTTTCCTGGATCTTCTCCAGCCCTATTGGTTCCTGTGACTGTCCCACCAGATGACTCTTCTGGTGGTCTCAGCTCCTGCCTGACCAGTTTGTGCTGCTTTGCCTTTCCTGGGAGTTCCAATGCCAACTCCTAAATGCCAGCACCACCTCTTCTTTCTTTTGTTCTTCTAACCCGGAGAAGCAGCCACTTTGTGCTGCAGCTTATCTTTGGGGAGGTCCCACACCATTTTGGGTGTCTCAAATCTTTCATCACCTGTTTATTTCCTAACGAGTTCAATTCATTCTTTATGAAACCTTTAGACATTTTCTCATTATTTAACTGGATTGTACTAGTACACTGACAAACAGAATGAACGTAGCTGATGCACAATACAGAGAGCGGTGTGTGTGGCATTCTCTTCTCTGGCATACCTGCCCTCAACCTCATGCTGCCGGAGCCCAGAGAGTACTCACTGCTCCGGGATTCACCTGCTCCGGCATTCACCTGCTCCGGCTCAAGCTTCCTGTTTTATAATGCTGAAAACTTTGTGTTATCTGTGGTCCCTTAAATCCTTGGATATTGATGAATTTCTCCCTAAGGACAGTTTGGGCATTGCATTCTCCCATTCAAGTACTAACCAGGATGACCCTGCTTAGCTTCCGAGAGCAGACAAGATCGGGCGCATTCAGGGTGGTATGGCCATAGACTGGGCATTTCATTCTGACTGTGAAGAGAAGGGGACCACTTTATCTGAGATCAAAGTATGTGTGTTTTCAGGGGGAGCCAGGAAGAGGAAGAAAGAAAATGAGAAGAAAGGACAGGGAAAAATAGAAAACCCAAAGGGGAGTGGCACTGGTAGAGACTATGAGGGGAGCTATGTCCCAGCTTCATAAAATAGCACTGTTATCTTACAAATTATTTCTTGTTTTCCATTTCATGCTCTGCTTCTTACCCTACCACCAAATCAGGGAAGAGTGCTTAGGAATAAAGTTAAAAAACATAAAAAAGAATAGCATTTGTTTCTACTTGGGATACCAATTATTTTCAAAGGAATATAGAATTAGCCACTGGCAAACTCTACGCAGAAGGGTAGACAACAAGGTAAATTCTCTTAGCTATAAGACCCTGGGCAAGTTACTTAACATCTTTGGATGCAGTTTTGTCTTCTGGAAAAATGTGACTAATGCCAGCACATAGGGTTATTATGAAAAGATTATTTGCCAAGTGCTTAGACTCATGACCCATAGTGTCTACTCTGTAATAAGCTTCCCTAAATATGGTGCTATCGACTAAGATGCAATTGACTACACGTCCATTGTAATGGGTATATTATACAGAGACAGCTTATCACTGCAGGTCAGAATCTTCCACATAAAAACCCCTACAAGAAAAGGAAGATTGGTTATCATCTTTTTTTTCAGGAAGCATTCATAGAATGGTGGCTTGCTCAATACATATGTAACACAGAGCAGAATGCAGTATGCAAATGTGCCTGGAGTGAAGAAGCTGATTGATCAGGAGACTACTGCTTGATGAAAATATTTCTTGGGTTAACGCCCTGGCCTGCAGCGCCTGCATCCCACATGGGCACTGGTTCAAGACCAGGCTGCTCCACTTCTGATCCAGCTCTCTGCTATGGCCTGGGAAAGCAGTGGAAGATGGCCCAAGTCTTTGGGCCCCTGAACCTGCGTGGGAGACCCAGAAGAGCGCCTGGCTCCTGGCTTCTGATCAGCACAGCTCTGGTCATTGCGGCCATTTGGGGAGTGAACCAGTGGATGGAAGATCCCTCTCTCTCTCTGGCTCTACATCTCTCTGTAACTCTGTCTTTCAAATAAATAAAATACATCTTAAAAAAAAAAAAAAAACCACAAGCTTAAAAAAAAGAAAGAAAATGTTCCTTTTTACAATTATCCTCTCATCAGTATCTTGGTCTCCTGTCCAGAAAGTCCTGCAATAAGCAGACCTCTAATACTTATTTATAACATCAAGTGTATCTTTCATTATAAGTTAATGAATGAGTTAGATTTTTAGTAGTGCAAAATATCTGAGTCAGGTTAACTCTATAAAGAAAAGAGGTCTATTTTGGCTAATGATTCTGGAAATTCACAGTCCGAGACTGGGAAGGCCTTATTGATTTAACCTTTAATGGATTCTTGCTGGCAGAGTCCCGTGGTGGTGTATAGCATCGTCTGGCAAGAGACAGAGAGCACACACGCCTTTCCATGTCTATTATAAAGCTACCAAAATCCAATCGTGGGGGTGGGGAGGCAGGTTCCACCCTCATGACCTAACCAATCTAATTATTTTGTGAAGGTCTCACCTCTAAACACTGTAATTGGATTGTGTTTCCCCCCCTCTTAGAACCATTGATTGTGACTTTGAGGTTCAAATTCTTGTGTGATTTGTGGGGCATAAATCATACTCAAACCATGGCATAGAAACCTATATCATGGAAATTTAGGTCTGTATAATCATAATAATAGGGCTGGCGCCATGGCTCACTAGACTAATCCTCTGCTGCAGCACCAGTACCCTGGGTTCTAGTCCCGGTTGGGGCGCCGGATTCTGTCCTGGTTGCTCCTCTTCCAGTCCAGCTCTCTGCTGTGGCCCGGGGAAGGCAGTGGAGGATGGCCCAAGTGCTTGGACCCTGCACCCGCATGGAAGACCAGGAGGAAGCACCTGGCTCCTGGCTTCCGATAGGTGCAGCATGCCGGCCATAACAGCCATTTGTGGGGCGAACCAATGGAAGGAAGACCTTTCTCTCTGTCTCTCTCTCTAACTCTGCCTGTCAAAAAAAATCATAATAATAGGTAACACGCATAGTTATTTACTATATTCCAGACATTGTTATAAGCACTTCAAAAACATCTAGTCCTAGCAACAATCTTCATTGACAATAGTTTCTCAATTTTGTAATCAATAACCCCAAATCTTGGTAGACAACAACAGGAAGGGTTATTTCAGGCCCACACTGCATTTCTCTTGGATCAACCACAGCTTTGTTCCACATCTTCATGGAGGAACCAAGCTGAAGAAAAATAACAGAAAAGGATGTCACTTCTCCTGAAGATTTTGCTGGGAAGTGGACATATGTCCCCTCGCCTCATATTTTGCCAAACAAAGCAACTTACATGGTGATGATGCTGTCAGTGTTGTAGGGAAGTGAACTCCTCACATGAGTGAATGCGGTAAAATGGGCAAAATGATCCTTCCACAAAGTGCAGTGAAAAAGAAAG